GCCCCCATGTTCAGTGCGGTTGCATAAGCCACACCAAGCTTTTCCGTGATAATGGAGCCTTAAGTAGCCAGCTAATGGAGCAGCAATCACAGCGAACATTTATGTAGTCATCGCTGACTGTGCCCAGGTATTGCTGAGTGGGCGTCAATGAGTCAGGGGCTTCGGCTAGAAATAAGGGGAAAAGATTTGTTCGAGGGTCTGAGGGTTTGCCAACCGGAAACACAGCCAGGCCAGGCCCGAGCGTTCTGGAGGAGAGAGAGAAGCTAGGGTTCGTGCAGTAAAAGACCACATTCCTGAGCAGACGCGGTGCTGCGTGTGAGCCTCTGGGTTGGTCTGAGATGCTCGCCCTCTCACCAGCTGGCAGCCTACATACACCAGCCTGTCATCAGAGGGCTCTCCGGGGGCTCAGTGCGTATTCCAAGTTCCGATGTTCGCGTTCCGGAGCTAGTTAGAACAGGAATCGAACTGTTCCCTCAACCTATCAGAACCCTTGCTCTGAATTCTGACTGGGCCAGTGGTCGGCAAACTCATTAGTCCACGGAGCCAAATATCAACAGTACGACGATTGAAATTTCTTTTGAGAGCCAAATTTTTTTAACTTAAACTATATAGGTGGGTACATTGTTATTAACTTAATTAGGGTCCTCCTAAGGCTTAGGAAGAGCCACACTCAAGGGGCCAAAGAGCTGCATGTGGCTCGCGAGCCGCAGTTGCCGACCACGGGTCTGGGCTGAACTAAAACACTGATTTCAGTCATGTAACTGCTTGATGGCAGTGACTCTGTTTGATTTCTTCACCCGACTCCTCGGGACTGTACTAACTTTCACAACAATAGGAAGTCCTATTGTTAACCACATTTCACAGATGAGGAATTCAGACGTGTCTGCTCTGTCTACTACAGTTAGCCCAGAGAGAGGAAACCAAGCCTCTATCTTCCACCATCTGTTTCCATGGACTCAGAGATTGCCGAGGTGTGAGAAGGACTTCAGAGATCGCCGAGTACAACCCGGGATTTCACGGACGGGCACACAGAACTGGACAGGGCTCACGGAGCATGTGCCCAAGTCCCATAGTCCGACCATGGCTGAGCCCCTGACCCCCGCGTTCTGTACCTCTCCTCTAACACACCCTCCTCCTTCCCTCCCAAAAGAGAGCATGGTCCCGGATTTTTCTCAACCATTTGTTTGCTTTTCAATTCTCCATACTTATTATTTCCAGTTTTTTCTTCTGCTACCATTTTTTTTAATATATATTTTTTATTGAGTGCAGAGCGGAAGGGAGAGAGAGAGGGAGAGAGAGAGAGAGAGAGAGAGAGAAGGAGAGAGAGAGAGAGAGAAACATCAATGATGAGAGAGAATCATGGACCAGCTGCCTCCTGCACTCCCCACACTGGGGATGGAGCCCACAACCTGGGCCTGGGCCCTGACCTGGAATCTAACTGAGACCTCCTGGTTCATAGGTCGACACTCAAACACTGAGCCATGCCATCCGGGCTTCTGTTACCATTTTTAGTGAAGAAAAAAAGGGGGGGGGGGGGGGAAACATAAGAAAAGAGAGAAGAGAAAGGAAAGAAAAGAAGAAAGAGAGAAAGAGGGAGATGGGTAGGGGGAGAGAGAGAGAGAGAGAGAGAGAGAACTGCTAACAATGATGTATTAGACCTTCGTTTTTGAGTTCGCCTAAGAAAATTCAGAGCAAGAACTCTGACGCAAGAAGTTTATTTAGAAAGTCAGAGGCGGAAGGAGTGAGCCAGCTGGGCCTCATGGACTCGGGAAACAAGTTAAAGAGGAGAGAAGGGCCCTGGGAGCTTAGGAGAAGGAAATCAAAGAGTCAGCAGCTGAGGAAAGAAGGGGGAACAGGGAGGGCGTGAGAGAGGGGAGGGAGTGAGTACATGGGGCCCTGGTCTTAAGGGTTTTTATCTATTTTCTGAAGGTGGGAATTTTAGGGGTGGTCTCAATAGAATATTCATCAGCTTCCCAGGTGTGTCCTTTCAGGGTCCTGGTCTCCACAGATGGACAGACGGACGGACAGACGGATGGATGGGTTGGCACTAGGGCAGGAGGTCGTCAGTCAGTGCAGCTGGGCCTGATGCCGGCCACGGCCTCGCCTTGTCTGGTTCCACTGCTCTTCTGGGCCTGGAGCTGAGACCCACTGAGGCCTAGATGTTACCTCTCGTTGGACCAAAACTCCATCTCTGTGGTCAGCAGACCCGCAGCTCTGTTCCTCCGATGATGTGATGTGGGTCAGAACCTCTGTCCCGAGGGCGCAATGCTCAGGGGAGGGTCCTGCAGGGGCTTGTGTGGGAGTCTGTGAGGCTGTTCCCTGGCCCCTTGTCCTCCTCGAAGGGGTCTGCAGCGACATGCCAGGGGAGCCAGGGGAGGGGAGGCCACCTGGGGTAAGGTCCTAGCCCAGTAATGGCGAACTTTTTGTGCCCGGTGTGTCAGCATTTTGAAAAACCCTAACTTAACTCTGGTGCCGTGTCACATATAGACAGTTTTTGATATTTGCAACCATAGTAAAACAAAGACTGATATTTTTGATATTTATTTTATATACTTAAATGCCATTTAACAAAGAAAAATCAACCAAAAAAATGAGTTCGCGCGTCACCTCTGACACGCGTGTCATAGGTTCGCCGTCACTGTCCTAGCCTGTTTTCCCAGTTTTGCCTGTTGCTAGGCTTCTAAGACTTCCTGCCCTGCGGACCTTCCTCCCTGGCCCATTGTGCCTGTGCCTGTCCAACTGCCCCCTCTGCCAGAACTCCGTGCCCATCCATTGATGAGAAGCTGGACAGCCCAACCCAATCTGCAGCGCCCTGGCGCCGGGGTCAGGATGTCTGAAGGCCAGCAGGTCCCTGGCCTGCCCCTGGGTCAGTCCCGCCTCCTCGTTCTGAGCCTGTTTCCCCACCTGCAAAACCAGAAGTTCAGCATCCCAAAGGTCATCCGGAAGCATTTGTTTGTTTGTTTGTTTGTTTTAAAGAGTAAATTCTCCTTTATTTTTCTATAAATGTTTTTATTGATTTTCGGATAGAGAGGGAGGGAGAGAGACAAACATCAACAGACACGCCCATTGGCTGCCTCCTGCACCCCGTCCTGGGCGTGGAGCCCACACCCGGGCACGTGCCCCGACCGGGAATCGAACCAGGACCCCCGGGTCCCTGGGAGGACGCTCCGTCCACCTGAGCGCGAGATGCTCCCCAAAGAACGAGCCCGGGCTTTGCCCTCAACAAACATGGCATCGGCGGTGACGTCGCCTTCCG